AAGAATATAAGACTTGCCATAGAATCAACTTTAATTTTTACTGCATTTAATGCCTCATTTAAAAATCCTGCTTGACCATCAATACCTCCATACCATTTTCGTAGTGTACTTGGGTGGGGCAAACAGTTATTAAATTGTTTTCGTACATAATTGTATGCTGATGCTGAATAATAATTAAGAGTGAGTGCAAATGATCTTAATTCAGGAGATATCGTTTTACCAGTTTTAATATTTAATTGTTTAAGTACAATTTCTTGTTCAGCTATAGGCAACGCCTCCTAAAAATGATTTATTAAATATTTGTGATTGGCAACATAATCCTTATGCAACAAATAAACACAACACATAAATAATAAAATATAAAACTATTTATTGTACAGATTAAAAAATATAAGGTTTATTAGTAACATGGACACACAACTTATTATTTATTTGGAGGATGTGGCACCTGCCTGTGCTGTCTCTTGTCTAACAAAATATGAGTAATATAGAACATTTTATGATTAGCTACAATAGTTTAAAAATTAGAGTGAATTGGCCTCTTTTAAAATTTAAAGATAAGATTATTATCTTGGCATTTTCAGAGGCTTTTCATCATATTTTAATTTTAAAGTGAGTATTTTAAAATTATAAATCTTTTGTACACCTTAAAATACTCCTAACTCGCTTAAAACAAAAATATAATAGAAAGCCTATGACATGCTGAGCGTACACACTTATAAGACGGAGACAACACTTGCGGGTGCCACTTCCTCTTATTATTTATTTGTAGTTTTTACCTTAATTACTGAATAACAGTTGTCTGAAATATAATTTTTATTTTTAAGGTTATTGATTAGTTGTCTATAATTTTTAATTTTATTTAAAAGTCTTTTATTCTTTTTTTTTGTTAAAAGAATTTCTCTTTTACACTTTTTAATTGTATTTTGTGACTCTGACCAATACCGCAACCCCTTTCTTGGACTATTTAAATCCTAGACATCAAAATCAACAATAAAACATTTTCTTTTTCTAAAATAAAACAAATTATAATTTATTATAATCCTATAAAATATTTAATAAAGGTTGATGAATGTACAGTTTCTCAATTTCTGACAACCAGTTAGCTTGGTTACACAAGAACAAATTATATGAACACAAAATTATAACTTACCGAGGTGAACAGGATTTCTTAATAACTGCAAAATCTTGTTTTACATCCATTTTTAATGGTGATTTCGGACTATCTAATAAAATAATAAAAATTAATTTTAAATATTTATGGAAAACTAATCAAAAAATATACTGGATTGATTATGGTTACTTTTCATCAACTCTAATGGATAATGTTGAAAGTGAAGCTTGACGGACTAATGATGTTAGCATTAATATAATAAGTAATAACACGACAATATGATTATGTTTAAGTATAATATATAATAACGTACAACTGGACAATTAAACTGTGACAATACACACACATCGTATACGCTCTGTACAACGACGCCTGTGCAAGTGAATATTACATACATCAAAGGCCCTATATATATGCACGACCGAGGTCATGTTACATCCGTGAAGAGAGTGAGTCTTATGCTCGTACATAACTAGTTACTATATTGTACACACGTGTCAAGGCTGACTACATATACTACATATTAATTGTATATTTCAACAGATAACATTCCAACTCTTCTGCTAGATTCTTACTAGTATTTGGATCACCTAAAGGCTAAAACATTATTAATTTATATCACATTATGAGTACAAACTAATTAAACGGCGAAAATGTTTCATGGTAATCTATACCGTATTTCTGTGAACAACCTTTAATGACCAATCTGGCCTTAAATTTATCGATATTACCGTCACTTTTATATTTGGTCTTGAAAACCCATGCGTTACGTAACGCAACCTTGCCCTGAGGCAGATTAACTAGTGACCAAGTGTTGTTTTTGTGTAGTGACGTAATTTCACCACTCATAGCGTGCTCCCACTCGTTTTTCTGTGGGCCAGCTATCGCTTCATCACGATTAGTGGTTCAACGAGATTGGCGACGAACGACGACACATTATACCTGATCAGCGCTTTTAACGTATTCCGATCACGTAGCACCATGCCACTCCTGTTGTCGACCGTCGTCAATTCGACCTTGACCGGATCGTCCTCGATTTGAGTCTGAGTATCTGTGAATTCTAATTTGTCTGCAATTATATTTTCCAATTTATTACCTTCGTTTTCGAATATAATATCTCTAGACATTGAAATTCTATTTGTTTTCGAATAATACACACGATAACCTTTGGTATTATCCGAGTAGCCAACAAATATTCCTTTTTCACTTTTAGGGTCCCACTTTTTACGTTTTTGCTTTGGTATGTGTGTATATACGACAGTACCAAAAACTCGTAAGTGTTTAATGTCTGGCATTTCCTTATAATATAACTCTATGGTGAGTTATTTTTAACTGAACTGGTTCCTGTTCGATTAAGCGTGTAAACAGCCGTGTTTACCGCCTCCGCCCAAAGTGATACATCCAAATTTCTCGCACAAATCATTGTCCTCGCTGATTCTACTATTGTACGATTTGTACGATTTTCCCGTTCCACTTTTCCATTTTGCTGTGGTGTGTAGGGAACTGTTAACTGATGTCGAATCCCGTGTTTTTGTAAAATACCCGTAATTTCTTTATTTACGAATTCTAATCCATTATCCGTTCGTAATATTTTGACCTTAGAACCTGTTTCTGTTTCAACACTTTTTATGAACGTCTCAAAAATATTTTTAACATCATATTTAAGTTTAATAAAATATACCGTTCTATAATGCGAGTAGTCGTCTTTGAATAACAAAAAGTATTTTGAACCGCCTATAGAGCTTACCTCCATTGGTCTGCATGGATTAAATCACCGACATTGTGATACTCCGTATTACTTTTACTAAATGATTTACGACTTTGTTTACCTATTATACAACTGCTGCACATGAATTCGTCGTCCTTGGCCGAACATACTATTTCGTGTTTCGCCAAACAACTTTTTACGTACTGCAAATTCTGATGTGCCATGCGCTCGTGCCAAACAGACAACCTGTTTTCGACAGCTACAGTCGCGTACCCGTTTGTCGGTACTTCGACCTTGATGTTTAACTCAAACAACCTTCCGCATCTCTTACCTGAGCATACGGGTTTCCCCTGTTTAGTTAACATACACGTCTTACTAATCCTTTATCCATCGCGGCACCGCACGAAAATAAATTAAATTTTAGTCCCGGCACGTGCAACACGTTTGCCATGTAATTTTTATTCCAATTACCGTTTACGTATGATAATATATTAATATTACCTCTACCTGCTGCATACAGATTCATCCCATCACCTATCGTGATTTGTTGCGTGCTGTCCAGTGGTTCATAACTTGAAAACCACTCTCGATTCGCGCTCATATGATCCGAAGCGCCTGAGTCTAGTACCCACGCATCTGTTGCAATATTATTTATTCTTGACTCGCTTACGAATGCGTTCAAGTTCGCACCTATCGTACCGGTTTTACCACCGTGTACACTATGTAGAAAATTTCTACAGTCTCTTTTATAATGACCTAGTTTACCACAGTAATAACACTTAATATTACTTTTATTAGTAAATTGATTTTTACCTTTTCCATAATTACGACTGCCGTTTCTTCCATCAGATCTGTTTTGAAATTTGGCCGGAAATGCACTCGATTTCTCTTGTTCACCAACTTCACCTTTGATCTGGATAACCCGTGATTCTTCAATCAACAATCGACTAGTCAAATTATTTATATTTTTACTTCCCGTCGGGACTGAATCCCAAGCACTGTAAAAATGATTATATTCTTTTGGTAGTGTCATTAGTATTTTTGTCATAACCATGTTATCCGTAACTGGTTCACCCGCTACTCTCAGTTTCCTTCCTAAATTGACCATTTTAGAAATATGCGTCGACATGTCATCTGTCGACTCCTTTGAATAACTGAAAAATTGTTGTTGAAGCAAATGTAAACTTGCCTCAGACTTCTGCTCGTAAATACTCAGCAGTTTCTCCCACATTTCCAATGCAGTCTCACAGTTAATCAAATATTGTAATGGACCATCGTCCACTGAGGTAACTATTATTTTCTGACATTTACCGTCCGCTTTTATCCAAGCGCTAGTATGCCTTTGCCAACGTGCTTTGGCTTCCTCGTCGGTCTCTGCTGCCGACTTTTTTATAGGTAGACTTGGTTTCGTCCATTCGTCTGAAACTATCTCACCTACTTCCAAGGCATTTAGAATGACCTTCATCTGGAACTTCCATAACGACCAGTTTTCCGCACATAATTTTGTTATCTTCACCGACCGATGGTTTCCCGTATACTTTCCTGTATAAAAATTTATAACAAAACTTTACCTATGTACACTGTTCCGCCGTTTTCCGAAATCCAGGATATCTCCAACTGGTTGTAGTTTTCTGCGTTAATACAAATATAAAAATACTTCGATCACGAATCCACTAGACTGTATGTCTTGGTTATTGACTGGGCCCATAACCTGTTGAAAGTGAAGCTTGACGGACTAATGATGTTAGCATTAATATAATAAGTAATAACACGACAATATGATTATGTATAAGTATAATATATAATAACGTACAACTGGACAATTAAACTGTGACAATACACACACATCGTATACGCTCTGTACAACGACGCCTGTGCAAGTGAATATTACATACATCAAAGGCCCTATATATATGCACGACCGAGGTCATGTTACATCCGTGAAGAGAGTGAGTCTTATGCTCGTACATAACTAGTTACTATATTGTATACACGTGTCAAGGCTGACTACATATACTACATATTAATTGTATATTTCAACAGATAACATTCCAACTCTTCTGCTAGATTCTTACTAGTATTTGGATCACCTAAAACATTATTAATTTATATCACATTATGAGTACAAACTAATTAAACTTCTAAAATAAATTATCTTTTACTATAAATTTTGAAATACTAACAAGGAACTTGAGATGGGAAATTACTATTGTCCTCAAAAATTGTATAAGGCAGCAACGTTATAACCTCACCTATATGTTTATACCAAAATTATGTGTCTAAACAGATACTAATTTTTCATGTTGTACTAAAATGACTTACTAAAAACAGATGGAACAGCAGTTTTTTTTAGTAAGTTGTTTAACTCATAGTCTGTTGATAAAAAATGACATTGACAAACGTAAAGGGATTTCTTCATTATATATGACGGTTGAAAGTTTTGAATTGATTTGACCCATAATGTTTGACGATTTTTATCAAGTGGAAATCTAAGAAAAATAAAAGGGTTACAATTAAAATGTATAAGAGTATAATACTTACTTATGCAACTTTAGTTTGGATCCTTTATTTCCTTTGGACTCGCCGAAAGGAATACAGCAACTCCAAACCATCGTAAAATTCGTCAGCAATTAGAGCAATACAATAACTAAATTTTTTTGAAAAATGTTGAATACTCAAAGTCAAACTACCAAAAAGTCGATTAGGCAACAGTCGTCATTCGTTGAAAATTGATAAGTCAATTTTAGCGGCAAATAGCAGGCTGATATCCATGCCGGTACCGGCTCTTATCATAAATTTCAGCCAGGAAGAAAAATTATTTTAAGAATATTTTCTTCCAAAAAGGAGTACATCTTTTATCTCATTCTTGGCCGCGGTTTCTCTTTCTACGCTCAGTCCATTTATAATAGGTCAATGAATTTAACTGAGCTCTCATCAGAATCGACAATTTATTGTTGCTTTTAAATTTAACATTAATATACATTACAATCCTGAGCTAAGTATAGAGTAATTCGAATATAGTGCTTAGTATTCTGTTCATTACTTTTTTTAATATGTTTAATTATAAATAATACTTTAAGACTCATTAGTTTATTATAAGTTCTAACACTAAAGTAAGTAATTTCAAAGCTTATTTATGGTGAAGAAAAATTAACAGGATCCGCTTTAAATTATAAGGTTTTTAGTGTTTTTTCCATGTTTTAAATTACATTCAACTATAATATTTTTAATTCATTTAATTAATGTACAGTGTAGTTATTAAAATTAAAATATATTTATATTATGTTGTTATTGTAATATGTATAAAATAATATGTATTTTTCATTCATTAAAAATATTCTTACAATCATGGTTACAACAATAAATAAAATTGTATTAGTTATACTGAAAATATAGGTACTTAATATAATTTAGATAGAAGATTATCAATAATATTGATTATATTCAGTGTTTATTCGTATTTAATTTAATTACTTAAGTAATTGATAGTCGCCTTCAAAATTCCGTGACTGTCAAGTAGATGGAAAATGTTGTCTCTCAACCCCTATTGTTCTGACCTTCTATTCGTCTTCAAACCCTCATACCTATACATCAAATCGTCGCTTTATATATTAATGTGTGCATGTGTGTAATGCACAATATATAGATACTATAATCTATATCCACGTATAAACCATTCTTACAAATAGGTCAAACAATTGATCTAATCTGCTTACTTCAAATACAAATAATTTTCAAATTATTAATAATATGAAAAAACTCATAAATAAACATTTCAACAAATTATAGAAAGTTAGATAATTAAGTCTTCACGCTATATTTAATACGTATATATGCCTAAAGTAGTAGGTACTCTGTGGTGTGTATAATGTATATTATGTAGATATCACTGGTGTATAAATTCATGACTTATATGTAGCTGGTATATAACTTTTAGAGCAATATTACTTTATGGTATGTACAAGGTGTAATATATAGTATCTATATATTAGTATATATATATATATATTAGTATACATATATATACTATCACAAACTGATAAATTTAAAATAGGTAAATTTAACTTTTAGAATACCTATATTACTGTAGATTAAAGACATCCAGTAACTACTAGTTGTTTTATGCTCCCAAATTTAATTTTAATAGGTATTTAATTTTTTTTTAGTTACTATTTCCTATTTCATTTATATATAAATGTAATAAAAATTATTTTACCCACTAGGTTTCAAATGGTATTCAAAATGATTTGACTTTTTATGAGTATGAAATTAATTTGGATTACTTCAAGAAACCAGAAAAAAATAGATTATCCGAATTTTTCAAGTTTCACCCTAAACAACCGTACAATGGTGTAACTTTTCATAAACTAAAATTCTATTTTAGAAAAGAAGCCATCCAGTCATTTAATAATGTGTATTTTGTAAGGCAGTGGTTGAGCTACTCCATTAACTCTTTCTTTTGTACATTCTGTTTGGCATTTGGAAATAAAGAGAATCGATTTACCATTGGATGTAAAACTGAATCTAACAATAATCCTTCCACTAAAATCAAGGAACATGAACGTTCAATAAGTCATCAAAATAGTTTTGAAGCATTTTTAATGTATTCTAATGCTTCAGATATTGAATCCCTGTTAAACAGTGGAAAACGTTATGAAGTTGAACGAAAAAGAGCTGTTATAGGACGATTAACTGATATAGTCAAGGTAATAGGCAAACGTGGATTAAGCTATAGAGGAGCTAAAGATGCAGAAGCAGCCTACACATTAGACAATTGTAACTTAGATCATGGTAATTTTCTAGAAATAGTGATATTACTTACAAAATACGATCCTTTATTAAAAGAACATGTCAAAACTGCTGTATTTAAAAGTCAACTAGCTAAAACCCTCCAAAAAGACAATGTACACTCAGGACGTCCGGGAGGTCTTGTGAATTATTTATCAAAAACCACTGCTGATTATATAATTGAAGCAATAGGAATCCTAATGAAAAAGTCAATTTCAGAAAGCATAAGGGAAGCAAATTTTTTTCTGTACAAATTGATTCAACACAAGATGTAAATGTACATGATCAAGTGGCAGTTATTATACGATTTGTTAACGAGAAAGTTAATGAACGATTGGTTGCATTGGTTGATTGTGAAAGCGGTACAGACAAAAATGTGTGTGACATTGTATGTAATGTATTTAGTGAATTCAATTTGGATGTCAAGAACTGCATCGGAAGTTCGACGAATAGTGCCAGTAACATGAGAGGCCATTATAATGGATTTTCAGCTTGGTTGAATAAACAAAGTCCAGATCAAACACATGTAAGGTGTTATGCGCACGTTTAAAATTTAGTCATGATTGACACTACACAAGTGTGTTGTAAAAGTACAACATTATTTGGTTTAATTAATACAATAGCTGTATTTTTTAGGGAATCATATTTAAGAATGAACGTATGGACAAATAATAGTAAAGCTAAATGTATCCCCCTCGTTGGTGATACACGGTGGTGGGCAAAAGATCGCTGCCTCAATAAAGTTTTTGGATCATATTCACACCCACAAGAAAGTTTGTTTGTCAATATAGTGCACACACTTCATGAAATATATACATCAACTAAGTTCAACCAAGATGCAAGATTTAAAATATGAAACAATACTAACTGCTCATATTTTTTTTACAAATATTGATAACTACTTCACCTGTATCACTTTATTTATAAAGCAAAGAAATGAATATGATTCAAGTATATACAATGGTAATACAATCTATTAGTGTTCTAAGTAAAGAATCCAGAAATTTTGATAATGTAGTAGATAATACAAATTTGTTTATTGACTGGGCAAATGATGAATTTATTAAAAATAATTTAGACTATACGGTGGAAAATTGTCTTCCGGAAAAAAGGAATAATAAAAAAAAATTAATGCCTGGTGAAAACACACATGATGAAACACCAGAAAATTCCATTTTTCGTTTTAAAACTCAAGTATTTAATGTGGTGTATGATCAGGTAGTATCAAGTTTAAATAATCGTTTTAAAAGTCATGGTGATTTGTATAAAGAAAGTTCACTTTTGGATCCACGTTATTTTAAGGAGAACTTGCCAGAGAATAGCTTCAACTGGATGAGTTCAAAACTACCAAAATTCAATTCAGAAATCACTGTATGTAAATTACATTCTGAGATGCAAGATTTTATTAGAAAATGGCCCAAACTTAAACTTATTGTTGTGTCAATTGAACTCCTTTGAACTTACAGATTCGGCATTTATTAAAAACTATAGACTTACAAAAAATTTAGCTAATATATTAATTCAAGAACTTAGTCCTTTTCTTAAGTCACCGAAAAGATCTTCAGATTTAGATGTATCAACAAAGGCAAGTTCGAGTTGTTAACAATTTAGGAACGGTAGTAGTTTAGTGTAATATTAGATTAGGTGTTTAGGTAGATTACTTATTAGGTAAATAATTATATTAAAACAATTATTAAGAGGAAGAAGAATCGAGTTTTGTTCATTTTAGTTTAATAATTAACTATCTATTACCAAAATTAAAGTTTTAAATCTCTTGGTTTAAAATATTGGCACTTATTTGCAGTGGCACTATAGCACTAGATAATAGAGAGGGCTATTCTTGTCTATAGCCCCACCTCAATATTACCTATACCAAAGATGAAAAAATTTTTTTTGTAGGGATATGAGTAAGTTTGGTCTTCCTATAGTTTCACTTATGATTCTTTGTCGGGCAGTATTTTATATTGGGCTCAAAAAGACAATAAAATATGTGTTGAAATCCTCTTATTATTATTAGTTTTTTGTTTCTATCACGCATAGAAATATCCGCTGTAATTTAACAACAAATCGGAGGGTCAATAAGGATATGTTGAACTAAGTGTTGTTGAAAGTGAAGCTTGACGTACTAGTGATTTTAGCATTAAGAGGACGCCACACCCGCATGTGTTGTCTCCGTCTTACAAATGTACAACATAGCAAAAACTCTTTTGCGAGGGACAACTTTTCTCGCACCATATTTGTTGTAGAACTACCAAATTTTCACAGCACTTAAAGAAGAACTTTATCTGTGCAACAGCGTGCTCTTTTTTTCAATCCAATCATTTTTTATAAGCAAATTAAAAAACCAAATGTTTAGAAGCAAATAACTTGTATTGTATATATGTTATTGAAAAATAGAGCACGCTGTTGCACAGATGAAGTTCTTCTTTAAGTGCTGTGAAAATTTGGTAGTTCTACAAAAAATATGATGCGAGAAAAGTTGTCCCTCGCAAAAGAGTTTTTGCTATGTTGTACATTTGTAAGACGGAGACAATACATGCGGGTGTGGCGTCCTCTTAATATAATAAGTAATAACACGACAATATGATTATGTATAAGTATAATATATAATAACGTACAACTGGACAATTAAACTGTGACTATACACACACAGTGGCGTAGCCAGGGGGGGGGGTGTTAAAACCCTCCTCCTCAGCCGTATTTATATCAAAAATATAATGTTTATAATATAGGAATACAATCATTTGGTCGTGGTAAAATGTATTCTGTTATGCCGTAGTCGTATTCACACACTACCACGGTTTAAGATAAACTTTATCTTAAATAGTGCACACAGTGTCGTATTATAATTGCATTCGTGCAGATAATATTTACACTACACCATCATATTGTGTAATTTATGTTATCGACTGCACTGATGATAATAATCATTATCATTCAATTATTTTATTATTAATTTACCATGGTTGTAGATTTATCTATAGTTTAGCGGTCTAGTTGTTATCAATATGAATATTATCACAGAACAATATTATCATTATAAAATACATGGACACATGTTTGGATGTTTCTCTAGTTTTTATAATAATTTTTAATAATTTTTAATATTTTGCTAATTGTTATTATGGATTCTTCAAAAAAAAGAAAAAATACAATTATATCCTTTTTCCAGAAAAAAAGTAGATCCGAACCTTTAGCAGAAAACAATGAGGTAATTTTATTTGAGTTATATTATACTGGTTAAGACTTAAATATCTAAATAGCTTATCGCTTAAATTGAATGCTACTAGGCAGAGCCCAAATTTGTATGCATTTGCTTATTTTTTCTGGTTGATAATTATATACTAAATGAGCATGATGTGTGTTTTATGTTACAAAATATACACAAATGTTATAAAAAAAAGCTAATGCTATATATAGGATATAGTATAATATATAATATATAATATAATTAATATATATATTTTTAATAAAGTTATTAATTATTACCTATAAACTCTATTGCGTTTTACTTAATTGCTTTTTAAATTATATTAGACGCTTACTGTAATACCAGCTTTAGAGCATGTGCAAGATCAAGACATTTCATCAAATAATACAAATTCAAGAAATGTAAATATAAAAAACTCTGACACAAGTTTAAACATATTATACTTTGACACAAATTTAAACATAAGTATCAACATTTTTAACCATGCCTACACAATAAATAATAGTGTAGACAGTCCTAAGTCTGTTATCTTTTCGATATAAATGGGAAGGAAAATGTTGATTAGTAAATTTTTCTAAATTAAATAAATAAACCAAATATTAATTTCATATTTAATTATTATATAAACTATATTATATTATATTATTTAGTATACTTAGTTATTATTATTTGAGTAATAATATGTAACTATACTAGTATGTAACCTTTTTGTTGGGTGACCGCAACTAGTATGTAACCTTTTTGAGGGGTGACCGCAACTAGTATGTAATTTTTGATTATGACCGCAACTAGTACACACCGAAATAGGTAAATAGTTAAATAATTAAAGTAAGTAGTAATTTAATTAAAATTTAATTAATTTACTATTTATTTATTTATTTTTAGGAGAGTAAGACTTCTTGTGTATGCAACTATCTATATCAGTGCTTCTCAACGGGGGCGATATCGCGGTGAAGGACTACAGATGGGCGGTGAGCTCGTTTTGGGCGGTGGGCTCGTTTTGGGTGATAGGGGGGCGGTGAACTTTTTTTCCGTTCAAAGCAACGCACCAATTATTATTATTTATATTGGTAAATGTTTTAATTTTTATCGATTACTAAAATAAACTCGTGATTATGAAATATAAGCTACACATACCAGAGCGTCAAACGTTTGCTTATCTGTAATCGTTTTCGAACGAATCATTATCTTTATTACTCTTTAACTGCATTATGCTTTTTCTTACTGTACTTTCAGTATACATTTAGATTTTACCCGTGCCAGTTGTGTTAGTTTTCGTTTCGGGTTTCGGTTTATATTAAAATTGTATATTATTCAACGATGTCAGAAGCAAAAAGGAAATGTCGCCAATATAATTCAAATTACTTGATGTACGAATTTATTCCATCACCGTCCAACGCCCAGCTTCCTATGTGTTTACTGTGCAACAGAGTATTATCTAACGAAGCAATGAAACCGTCGCGTTTGCAAGAGCATCTTCAAAAAATTCACCCTGACAAACAAAATAAAAATTTGTTATTTTTTACGAATATTAGGGACAAGTTTTTGAAGGCACCATCAGTCTCAGGCTTACTCACAACTTCTTCAACACAATGTGACGATGGTTTAATAGCCTCTTATAATATATCAAAACTAATAGCTAAATCAGGAAAAGCCCATACCATTGGTGAACAATATTAATACTGCCAGCTATCAAGGAAGTTCTAGAAACAGTTCTACACCATTCAGCCTCATACAATGTCATTAAAAAAGTTCCATTAAGTAACGATACTGTGCGACGACGAATTGATGAAATGGCTGAAGACGTAGAAGTTTCTTTATGAGAGCTCTTGGTATCCAACAAATTTTCCCTTCAAGTTGACGAATCGACATTGCCTGGTAACGAGGCTTTACTGTTGGCGTATGTTCGACTTTTTAAGGAAGGAAAAATCATACAAGAGATGCTTTTTGCAAGAACCTTGATAGCAGATACTAAAGGTGAATCTATTTTCAATACCATCAAAGATTATTTTAAAGAAAAGAATATTCCTCTTGTGAACATTAAGTCTGTTGCCACTGATGGAGCGCCTGCAATGGTGGGTCGTCATCGTGGGTTCATCGCCTTTTTAAAGAAAGAAGTACCAGGTATTTTAGCTGTTCACTGCGTGATTCACCGACAGCATTTAGTTGCAAAAAACCTGAGCGACCGTTTGCATCAGTCATTACGATATGTCATCTCTGCTGTCAACAAAATTCGCAGTAATTCTCTCAACGATCGACTATTCGCACAGCTGTGTAAAGACAACGACGAAGAATTCAATCGTTTTATTCTACACACTGAGGTTCGATGGCTCTCCAAAGGCGCGTGCCTCAACATTTTTTGGAATATATTCGAATCTATACTTGAGTTCCTTGTAGAGAAAGATGTAGATGTGAGAAGTAAGTTGCTACAATTTAAGACCGATATCGCTTATATGACCGATTTATTCGCAAAATTCAATGACATCAATTTGCAACTTCAAGGCGACGAGCTCAATAAGATCTCGTTTGATGACACACACATTTACTGTCAACACCTTCAATCTTTGGATAAAGATTTTTCACAACGTTTTGAAGATATTTTGTCCCTGGAAGTTCCTCAATGGGTCATAAACCCTTTTGTAAATATTGAATCAGCAAGACTACAGTATCAAGAAGAATTGATCGAAATTTCCACTAACGAGATGTTAAAAGCAAGTTTTAAGAATGGTGAAAACCTCACAGAATTTTGGCTCCAGTCTACTATCAGTCGAATTTATCCTGGGCTGTGGACTGTCGTACAAAAATTATTAATTGCCTTCCCTTCCTCTTACCTCGTTGAGCGAGGATTTAGTGCGGTAACAAATCTAATAACTAAAAAAAGAAATCGACTCGACATCCTCAAAAGAGGAGACTTACGCCTTCATCTCACAAACATTGAACCAAACGTAAAAAAACTGGCTCTGGATCACCAAGCACAACCATCTCACTGATCAATACATTTAAAAACATTTTAATTATCCTCTTAAATTATATTTAAACATAAATTTTACATTTTATTTTCATTATATTCACATTTGTACATATATATATATATTATATTTATTAATTATTCAATATTAAACTTTTCATGTATAATATTTTTATTTTTATTTTAATGAAGTGGGGGGGGGGGGCGTTGAAAAATATTTTGCTTCTTAGGTGGGCGGCCGTTATGAAAAGGTTGAGAAGCATTGATCTATATAAACCTATTAAGCAATAACTGCCAATAAATATAATTTAATTAAAATATAATTATAATTTGTGCAGATTGATTCAGAACAAATATATCAAATTTTAACGAACATTTATTTGAACAATTTATGAGTACATTTCAGGAAGTGTGAAATCCTCCACAAGTTACATTTTATTACAACCTCCCCCTCCCCTAAAAAAAATCCTGGCTACGCCACTGTACACACACACCGAGTACACTCGGTATGACAGCGTCTGTGCAAGTGAGTATTACATACATACATATATGAACAATCGAGGCCATCCCGTATCCGTATATAATATAGAAAGTGATAGTAAAGAAGTTGCACAGCTATATCGTAACTGCATAAGTATCTATTAGAAAACGACATTGTACACGCACGTGTGTTTACATGGTTTGAATACTAATATTAATTGTATATTTCAACAAGTGTCTCATACAATTAAATTAACTTTTAATCGGTGGTAATTTTAAACATTAGCGGCGTAACAATAAACAGTATTGGGTATAAATACATTGAATATTTATTTAAAACTAAGTTGGATTCAGTTTGATATTAAATTAATTTTAATCCAAACTAGGTTAATGAGTTTTATATAATTGTTAGTTATTTTCAACTTAACTCAACACTGGAGTTGTTTTGACACCCGAATTATTTCAATTTAATTACACTGAACGGTGTAATAACCCCAAAATATCTGAAAAACCCAACATCGAGCGTCATTACAACCGCCGAGGAGCGTTGAGTAAACATTATTTCATAGTGAAATTCTATGAACACTAACCTCTCATTTCTATTGCGACTGTGATGTATTCATAAGTCAATACACGTGTTTGTTTTAAACAATTTTTTATTGTAATATAATATATTTTAAATTCAAATTTGTTGTTAATTGCTAGTTACTACATAATATATAAAAGTTAAAGGTGTATAATATTAGTTGTTAAGATGTATTATACAGATAATAGTTTCAATACAACGGACGTATCTGAAGTCGTCAAAGTAAGTACCTACCTACCTATTTGTTTTATTCAAAAATGTTGCATTGAAAAGCATAAAGTGTTGGAATCATTTTAGGATTGTTTTATTAATGATATTAATGATGATTATTTTTAAAGCACAGATAGTATTGAACCTACCTTTTTAGTACCAAACCTAATCGAAGTGCCTCATAAAGAAAATAATCAGGATATAACTGATGTCAATGATCCAAGTAAATATTACTTAACCCTAAACCGTTCGAGTCCATATACATCGTCCAATTCTTCACCTTCAACCTCGACACCAAATCATCAAAAGTATGGAAAATATAAACCAATGGAATGGACTATTGAGGTATTTTAATAAAAATAACTGTTGTGTGATACAGAGCTTAATATTTTATAAAATAATTTTGTTTTCTAGACAATTTTAGAACTTTTACATACATCCAATGATGGTCGTTTCGTTTTAGCCGACTCAAAAACAAATAATGGCTCTTTATCCGATGATGGTCAAAATACCCTAATAAAACTACTTATTAATTTTCTATTACAAGATAATAGCAAGTAAGTGATATATTTTCTTGATCTAACATAAATGGTGCACACTTGTTTTAAAAGTTTGTTTTACATATTTAAAATCTGATTAGTTAGGTATGAAATATCATTCTTAATAAATCAACTCTTAAAATATTAAAAAAATTGGTTAGTTGTATGAATGTCATAACAGATTTTGTCATAACAGATTACAATAATATATTTTAAAACATGCAATATATGACATCGGCCACCCCTGTGTGGCTTTGACACACAGTAAAAAAAATAAACAAAGCTTGTGCTTAGTGTGGGTGAGTTCTAAAATAGTTGGTTAAATATAGTATTTTAATATAAAATAATAATAATTACATAAAAATGAGCACTTCATTAAAAAAAAAAAAATATACAGTTTTTTAACATAATAAGGAATTAATTAATCAACATGGACTTTGTTTTAAACTTAGTGATATCTATATTTAATTTTCTATATAAATCTATTCCTACATTAACACTAATAAATTTTCCAAAATGTTTGTTTACTTTTATACAATTTAAGTCTTTAATCTTGTATTATAAGTACTTATGGACAGCATGGTGTGGTTTAGACAGTTATATCAGTTTTAAATAATATGAATGTATGATGTGTCAGTTATATTAGACAATATTTAATGCAATATTAATGAAGTCTAGCATTATAATATTATAACCTTTATTAATTTGTATTTTATAATTATAAAGAGTGGCTTTTTACAGTAAATTATTAATGAGTATAAAACAGTTTTAATTTTATATATATTTTTAGAGGCTCAGATTTATTTTTTCGCAAAATAGCAACATTAATTTGTGAAGTGTTTCCTAGCGAGCAAAAGGTATTTCGATTTCAAATGAAGCATTAGTTTGTATAAGTACATAATTTTTTTCATAGAGTGTATATTTCATACCAGCTGGAGAAGGCAATACTCATGCTAAAGGGAAATTGGTAGAGAGATGGACAAATGTATCACGCAGATTGCGTAGCATAGGTGCAATTAAATCTGATAACTGATAAGAAAAAACCAAGCTCTGCTACATCTTTGCATCTTGCATCACAAATATTTCCTGGTAATTTCAAAGTTTGACGCGGACACGATGATTGTTTCAAGGTTGATCGTGGTCAGGTCAAAGTGTTCGGTTAGGATTGAGGTGATGAAAAAAACACAACACAAACACTTTAAGAATGTCACAAATTATGTATTATAATATTGCGACCAAAATATAATAATACATGACGTGCCGCTCGGGCAGATGAGTTTAACGTCGGACGATATGTTATCGGTCCGACGGTCCGATGGTGGATCTCGAATCGCCTTTTCCGCCGACCGTTGTACGTCTTACGCACAACAGTCCCCCCGTCCCGCCTTGCCGTTACCGGGGAGAGTCAACCCGGTCGCGCTGCTTGCATCCCGTGGTGGTGGTTATTGGAGGTAAGATAGACTGGTCGCTATAGTGCTTGTACATTGTACTTGCTACTAACGCGGGCCGCGTCAAGTTTTATATAATATTAAACATTTTTCTAATTAATTTTTATATTGTTTAGAAAATGTTGAAACCGCTAAAATCTGGCTTAGTCAAAATGGTTTGTCGGCTAATTTTGAAGAAATCAAAAGTAATTGGATAATTACTTACCAAATAAGAAAATTAGAAATATAAAGTGTAGATAATAAAGCTTTAACTGATCGTCATCTATCTTATATTTTCAAATCATGGCCAATTTTATGTAGCTCAAGTGGACATGAATTAGTAAGTTTTCTTCCCTTGCTAAATTTATTTTACTAATCATTAAATAAATAAATATTATAATTGGTTTAAACTATAAAAAAAATATAAACATTAAACGACTAATTTTTTTTTTTATTTATTTTTAACAAGATATATACAATCTGTACCCTTAGGCACAATAAGAATATGTGATATAATATTTTGTACATAAAAACGTGATGGAAGAAGCCAACCAGTGAAGGCACTACCTAATTGTTTATTTATATATATTTTTTTTTAATTATTTGGATTATTCATTTAGTAAATCACTTTCTGAGGTAGGTTGGTCTGCTACATATACATTGTATAGTATAGGTGAAAGAATGCCACCTTGAGGGACTCCTCAATTTCTTTTTTTCAATATTTGAAAAGGAAGAGCCAAACTTGACTTGGAAGTGACGATCCGTGAAGTAAGATTTAATGAGTAAGAAATATGTTGTGGCTTTTACCTTAAATAGTAGCCCTTCATGCCAAACCCTGTCAAAGGCTTGTGAGACACCAAGGAACACGCACGAGCAGTATTTTTTCGTTTCAAGAGAGAACGGAATAGTCGACTAGTCTATGCAATTGATGAGTTGTGGCATGAGAGGCATGAAAGCCAAATTGCGTGTTCGGAATTATGTTGTTTGAAAAAATGTATGGCAAAATTCTTTTAAGAATAAGCCTTTCAAACATTTTTGGAAAAAAGGGCAAAAAACTTATAGGTCGATATGAAGAGAAAATATCAGGTGGTTTTTTTGGTTTTGGAAATGCAATTATTATTGAAAATTTCCAAAGTTGCGGGAAGTAAGCTAATCTTAGGGAGGCATTTATCAGAACCGTTAGCACGACAATTGCTCTTTTTGGGAGGCATTCTTAAAAAACAAAAATGTGTAATGGAAGACAATGAAATGATAGATGACCCAGCTCCCATTTCGTCAAATCAACCAATGAAAAATGTAGACATTGATCCAACATCAAATCAAAACAAAGGTACTGTAGAAGACAATGAAATGGTAGACGATCCAGCTCCCATTTCGTCAAATCAACCAATGAAAATTAAGTTCAAAATCAACAATTGATGATTTTACTAAAAAACAGTTACTTGAAAACCATTGGAAACCACCAATAGATTACAATTTTCCTTATTCAAGTTTAAATAATAATATTTGCCTATTAGCTTACATAGTATGTACAATGTTTTTATCAGACTTAGGCAGAAATTTTATTTAAGATGCCCCCCCCCTTAAATATGTTCTAGATCCGCGCCTGGCGAGATGGGACAAAATATTAACGGCCGTGCGTGAAAGACAGTTCCCCCAGTATCTCGTTAACATCCTGCAGAGCTACCTTAGCAACAGGGAAGTAAAGTAAGAGGGAAAAGGTTGGTCTATTTCATGCGGCGTCCCGCAGGGTTCTGTCCTTGGCCCGTTACTATGGAACGTCATGTATGATGGTCTCCTCAGAATAGATACTGGTGGTAATGTTTAGGGCATATATTCTACATCGTTGGGGGCATTTGCGGACGATGTGGCGGTGGTTGCGACGGGCCGCACAACGCGTATACTGGAAGATGTGACTAATAACGCGATGGCGAAGGTAGCTGATTGGATGGACAATGCGGGACTAAAGCTTTCAACCGGTAAGACCGAGGCGGTCATGCTCACTAAAAAAAGGGGCTACGAAATACCTGTCTTCTCGGTGAAGGGGGTAGCCGTGGAGCCGAAAGACAACATCAGATACCTAGGAGTACAACTATCAAAGAAGCTGGGCTTCAAACACCACATAGAGACGGTGGCAAAAAGAGCAGTAGCCACTGCCGAGTCCCTGACGAAAATTCTTCCTAACATGGGAGGGGCTAGACAGTGGAAAAGGAAAGTCGTGGCAGGGGCAGTGCAAAATCAACTGCTTTACGCAGCTCCGGTCTGGGCAGATGCATTGATCTTCGAGACCAATATCCAAACGCTTGTGAGACCGCAGAGAAGAATGGCACTGAGGGTAGCCAAGGCATATCGTACGGTCTCTACGAATGCTACTTTAGTAGTCGCTGGTATGGTACCAGTGCATCTAAAAGCGATGGAGCAACAATGTAAGTTCAAGGCGCTGAAAGAAGGGTCAATAGTCGAAAAGGGGATGTTGGGAAAATCGACGTATAGAAAGTGGCAGTCGCTGTGGGACTCAACCAAGACCTGAATATGGAAGAAGAGGCTGATCGACGATGTCAGGAAATGGACAGACAGAAGATTTGGCGAGACAAATTTCCATTTGACTAAAATGCTGACAGGACACGGGTGTTTCGGATACTATTTACATAAGTACAAAAAGCGGTTTGACCCGGCGTGCGTGGCTTGTGGATCACCGGTGGATGATGTAGAACACACCTTGTTCAGGTGTGACAGGTGGTGGCAACATAGAAGAGAGCTGGAAGTGAAAATTGTAGCAGTGATGGAACCAGATACAGTAGTGGCGACAATGCTCGAGAAGGCGCAGTACTGGAATACGGTTAAGGCGTATGCGGGAATGGTGCACTCGACAAAGGAAGAAGAGGAGAGGCAGGTCCAAAGAGGCAGAGCTGCAGTAACATTGTAAAAATATATTTAAGGTCAATATTATGTGCACCGAAGGTGAAACATAGGAGGGATAGAGCCCTCCAAATATGTAAAGGCCCAGGCCTTACTTTAAGTAAAGTATGTGTATAATGGTCTAATAACTGATTGAACGAGTGAGATATCAATTATTCTTAATTGTATTTTATCGAGTATAGATCTAAGGTTACGAAAAATATAATAGAATTTACGACTTAATGATATTAAATGTTCAATTTGATTTTTCCATTTTGAACACGAATCAATATATAATCCTAGATACTTTATACAATTAACTTTTTCTATACATACACAATATGCACGGTTTAGATCATTATTTTCTAGAGACATGGTTGATTGTTCACAGATTTTTAAATTGTTCTGAATATCAATATTAGTTACATTAAAAACAATGTGTTTGGTTTTATTTAGATTTAACTCAAGGAGATTGTTATTAAACCATGATTTAATAGTATTAAAAATAACATTTGCTTTAATATATAATTCTTCTATATTTATATCATGTATAAGAATAACTGTGTCATCAGCAAAACACATAATTTCAGCTTCTGTATTAATATTAAGTAAACCATTTATATATAGAATAAAAAATATCGGACCAAAGACTGTTCCCTGAGGTACACCATGGTTGACTGACAAATATTTATAACAATATTTTGATTTTTTGATGTCTATCACTTAGATATGAACTAATTAGCTTATTTCCTAATGCCTCGGATTCCAGCATAATTTAATTTCTTAAGTAATAACTGGTGGTTCACACAATCAAATGCATTCATAATATCTAGGAATATACCTAATACTTTATTATTTTGGTTAAGATGTTCATGTACATATTTATTAAGAAAAAAAGGTGGGTAAGTGGATGTCGCTCTGCTGTACAGTAGGTTACAAGTGGGTCACTGTATAATTGATGCTATTAAATTTGAATTCAATGATACAATATCATTGTATAAGAAAAACGATTCTGAGCGAAGACGGTATGTCAGTCTAGGTTAAGACAAATTATATACATATCTATGGTATTAAAAAAAAATTGACCTATAATAAATTCCAAATTAATCATATCACATTATCACAATATCCATTAGGTACTAATAACACGTTATACACCAACAACAAACCCTGATACTATCATATATATATAATAGTACACTTTAGAAGTTTCAAGTAGGTACCCACGAATAATATTATATAATCACAACAAAATAACTAGGTTTTTTAATATGTAATTTCGTCAAAATTTGAACATTAAATGACTATAAAAATAAACTGTGATTGTATATTTTTTAGATTTTTCGGTAAGAGAATTAACTACTTACGTGGAATCTTGTTTTAAATTTTCAATCCTTAGCTATAAAAACTGAACATTTTATAATTTATTAATTACGATGATTAATAATTTTCGAGATTTTGAAAAATTCTGTCAAAATTCGATGTTAAAATGCTTATAAAAAAAAATTGTGCCTATGTATTTTTAATATTTTTCAACTGATATTGTAACAATATATCAGGAGCCTTGTATTAAATTTTTACACTTTTTGGCCCAACAGATAAAACTTAATTAATATTTATAGAAAAAAAAAACTAAAAAAATTGAAAACTGAAAATGTCCGTAAACGGCTCAAAAAGAGTCAAAATATTTTCAAAATTGTATGGTGTATAGGAAATGCTAATATAAACATTCAGTGAAATTTTCATGTATCTACAGTAATTCGTTTTTTAATTACAACAAAAAAAGGAAATTGCCACATGAGAAATCGAGTGAATATCCAATGTTGTAAAAATTTGAATTTCAAACGCTCATAAAAATTTAATTTGACTTTCCGGTAGAGATTTTTTTATTGATAAAGGTAGACAATCTTATGAGTAATCTTGTATTAGATTTTCAAATCTTAGATTTAAAAAGAAAAATTTTTACGAATTCTTAACTCAAAATAATTTGCTAATTTTCGTGATTTTTCCATATTTTGTCAATTTTTGAACTTTAAATGCTTATAAAAAAAAATTGTGACTAAGGATTTTTAATATTTTTCATCTGCCCTTGAAACAATATATTAGGAGCCTTCTATTAAATTTTCAAGCTTTCGCAACCAACAAATAAAATTTTATTGATATTTCTAGAAAAAAAACTAAAAAAAAACTAAAAATGAAAATGTCCCTAAACTGTTCAAAATAAATCAAAATATTTTGAAAATGTTATCGTGTATAGAAGATGCAAATATAAACAACCAGTGAAAATTGCATGTACCTACGGTCATTTGTTTTAAAGTTACACCAAAAACCAAATTCAATTTTCTGAAAAATCGATTTTGCGTAAAAATTCCCGTTTTTCCTTAATTTTTCTTTTGTTTTTCCCGGCGCTCTTGAAAACTACTGGGAAATTTAAATTTTGACCTCCCCAATGCACCAACGATATTCACTTTCCAATCGAACAAGATACTGAAGTCGAAAATCGAAGCATTATTTCGACTACTTATCGTGTACACAGACACAAAAAAATAAATATAAAAATAAAAAAATAAAAAAAAAATTAAAAAAATTAAAAAATTAAAAAAAAATAAAAAAAAAAACACACATCATTGTAAAATCAATACATTCATCGTTTCACTCAGAATCTAAAAATGGGCATTCACACAAGATGATTTATAGCTTGTTGATTTTGGTATAAAAAAATAAAAATTTCAACATTATAGTTACCATGGTGTGTAGGGATGCATTTTTTTTTTTACAAACTCTTTTACAATTTAAAATGTGGCATTATTTGTATCCATTTTTAGATTCTGAGTGAAACGATGAATGTATTGATTTTACAATGATGTGTGTTTTTTATTTATTTTTTTTGTGTCTGTGTACACGATAAGTAGTCGAAATAATGCTTCGATTTTCGACTTCAGTATCTTGTTCGATTGGAAAGTGAATATCGTTGGTGCATTGGGGAGGTCAAAATTTAAAATTCCCAGTACTTTTCAAAAGCGCCAAGAAAAACAAAAGAAAAATTAAGGAAAAACGGGAATTTTTACGCAAAATTGATTTTTCAGAAAATTGAATTTGGTTTTTGCTATAACTTTAAAACAAATGACCGTAGATACATGAAATTTTCAGTGGTTGTTTATATTTACATTTTCTATACACGATAACATTTTCAAAATATTTTGATTTTTTTTTGAGCCGTTTACGGACATTTTCAGTTTTCAATTTTTTTAGTTTTTTTTTTCTATAAATATCAATAAAGTTTTATCTGTTGGGCCAAAAAGTGTAAAAAATTAATACAAGGCTCCTGATATATTGTTACAATAGCAATTGAAAAATATTAAAAATACATAGGCACAATTTTTTTTTATAAGCATTTAAAGATCGCATTTTGACAAAATTTATCAAAATCTCGAAAATTATCAATCATCGTAATTAATAAATTATAAAATGTTCAGTTTTTATAGCTAAGGATTGAAAATTTAATAAAAAGATTTTCATAAATAGTTCATACTGTAGCCAAAAAATCTAAAAAATATATGAACACAGTTATTTTTTACAGACATTTTAAGTTCAAATTTGGGACGAAATTACATATTAAAAAACCTAGCATAGGTACCTATTTTCGTTATTTTGTTGTGAGTGTATAATACTATTCGTGGGTACTTGAAACTTCTAAAGTACACTATATTATATATCTATGATAGTCTCAGGGTTTGTTATTGATGTATAACGTGTTATAAGTACCTAATGGATAATGTGATATGATTAATTTGGAATTTATTATAGGTCAATTTTTTTTTTATACCATAGATATGTATATAATATGTCTTAAACCTAGACTGACATACCGTCTTCGCTCAGAATCGTTTTTCTTATACAATGATATTGTATCATTGAATTCAAATTGAATAGCATCCATTATACAGTGACCCACTTGTAACCTACTGTACAGCAGAGCGACATCCACTTACCCACCTTTTTAAAATTGAAAACATGGTTAAGGTCAATAATGGAACGAAATAGACTGGACAGGCTTGGCATTGTTCCATGAGCGAGCATATAATTATTATAACTATTATATGCGTTTGTGAAATTATCAATACATTTGCACAAACGACAAAAACTGGGGGGTAAAAAAAACCTAATATATACTTGACTGGGAAGAGGTAAAAAACCTAGTATATTTTTATCGAGGGGTAAAAAAACCTATTTAATTTACCCCCCTCTGGAGTATGGATGTATTTTGCTGAGGGGTAAAAATATACTAGTCTATTTTCACCCCCCCCCCTGAATCATTTTACAGTGAGATAAAAACTAAAAATATCCTAGGCTTATTGTAAGTCCTAGTGAAAATGTAATAGGTTAATTTTACCCCCCAGAAGTAAAAACATTTGATGGTATTAGAAACCTGCATGTCTTAATGTAAATTGTGAATCTGATGATTTTTCCTGAGAATATTGACCTATTGTAGGCGGCATTTGAAAGGGATATTTCTTGGTTGTTCTACTTTAAATTCTAAGGATATTAGTCTGTTAAAAGTGTAATGTTTTGTCAGGAGCGCACAAGAACACAACACGGAGGTTAAAATACGAATGAATCTTTATTATACATTTTTGAGGTTATGTAATAAAGTTATAGTGATAAATAATTTGATAACATACATTACAGTTCCCTCACACATAAAAATGAAAACAATAAAGATTTTTAAATAGTTACTTAATTAAATACATAATATACAGTGTATATTATATTATACATTCATGTAGTAATATATTAACAATACAATTTAAATATTTAATAATTAATAAATATGATACATTTTTTTTTTTTTTTATTATTATTAAATAACAACATTTTCATAAATAAACATAAGTACATAAAATAAAATAACCAAAGTGAATAATATACTTAAACTGATGTAATGACTTAAAATTACAAATTTAAACGTTTAGGTGGTTTGATTGTTCTACCACTCTTCCTTATGAATGTGTCTTTTGACACAGATTC